CCCTCCCTCCCTTCCTTCCTTTCCTTCCTTTCCTTCCTCCCTTCCTCCCTCCCTTGGTGGTGCAGTAATTAGAATGCAGTATTGCAGGCTAATTCTGCCCACAGCCTGGGGTTCAATCCTGACCGGCTCAAGGTTGACTCAGCCTTCCATCCTTCCAAGGATGTAAAATGAGGACTCCAATTGTTGGAGGCAAGAGGCTGACTCTGTAAAACCACTTAGAGAGGGCTGTAAACCATTGTGAAGCGGTATAGAAGTCTAATTATTGTTCTTTCTTTTTCCTTTAATTCCTTCTTTCCTTCCTTTTCTTCTTCCTTCTCTCTTCCTTCCCCTTTCTTCTTCCTTCCCCTCTTTCCTTATTTTTCCTTCCTTGCTCTCTTCCGATCTTCCCTTCTTTTTCTTTGTCTTTCCTTTTTCCCTTTCTTCTTTCCTGTCCCTTCCCGCATGCTCAAACGCAAAAGGGGAAACATTTCTCCTTTTGTTTTCTTTTTAGTTTGCTTTGCTAAGCCTCTGCCAGCCAAAAAGCAGCCCCCTTCTCATGCCTTATTTTCGGCCCCACGCGCGGGCTGGTCCTTTGCTATTTCCAGACCAGATCAGACCAGCAGGCCAGATCTAAACCTCCTGCAGGCTGGATCCAGCCCTTGGGCCTTGGGTTTAACACCCCTGTTTTACGCCTTACAGAATTGAACACCCCAATTGCCCAAATCCCTTGCTGGAGTTAGAATAATTCAACCAATCCAGCATGATAAATGTTTTGTTTGGCTTAGTTTTTAAATAAGAAAATAATCAACCCTCACTATAATTGTCTCGGTCATTAAAGCCCAAAGGCGACCTCCTTGTTTTAAAGTTGGTAAATTCCATCGGTGGTCTCCAAGAACAGCATAAACATTTTCCCCACCTTCACTAGCAGCATAATAATTAACAGCCCGTTGCTAGGCAACCACCCGGTTCCTATTATAATCTCCCCCCCCCCCAAAAAAAAACCTCATATACATACGTACCTAATAGATGTTCACTCCTTAAGTGCATGCTACAGTCATTGAAAAATTTGGCTTCTCCGGAGTTTTCATGGGAAGGAGGCCCAATTCAGCTGTTTATCCAAGTAATCCAAGGTCAATTGTTGTAAAATTCTAATTTGAGCCCTCCGTGACTACCACGTTATATTTATATTTGGATAATATACAAGCTAAGAATGGGAAGTCGGCTATTCATTGCTTTCCTTCCCTCCAATATCAGCGTTTATTGAAGCAATGAAGTTAATGCTGTTGTGGCCCACCAGCAGAGCTGGTAGTAGATTCGGACAGTGAGGAGGTTGGGAAGGAACATGGGCCAGTCCTGGAGTCTGGGGAAGGCTCTGATGAGGGCTCTGTGTCGGAGGCAAATATGGGGCCAGAGCCGTATGCCAGCTATCAGCTGCCTTCGGAGTCAGACATCAGAGGGGCAGAAGAACAGCTGGAGCCTGTTCCCAGTGTGTGCATGCACAGAGTTGCCAGATGAAGGAAACAGCTAAAGAACAGGGGTCGACATGGGAGTAAGGCCACACGTG